TCCAGGACGGGGGACTGGCCACCAGGCGGCCCGAGAGCCACGTTCTCGGCTGCAGGGGCAACGGGGCTGGGGGTGACGCGGCCCCAGAAGCCGCCCCCGGCGTCCCCGCGCAGCCCACTCACCCCCCGGCAGCGCGGCGCAGCCCTGCTCCACCACCTCCACCTCGCACAGGCTCAGCCGCTCCTCCCGGCCGGGGACAGCGATGGTGACGTAGCGACCGCGCAGCCCGCGGCAGCAGACGGTGCTGGTGGAGCCGGGGCCGGTGTCCGTGATGGTGCCGCAGCTGCGGGGAGGGAGATGAGGGTGGGTGAGGGCCAAAGCGGCCGAGCGCCGCAGGGGCCGGTGCGGCAGCACTCACACGGGGTTATCGGTGCCGTGGCCGGCGAGGGAGTCCCCGACGTGGACGCGGGCGCCCTTCAGCTGGTGCCAGCAGCAATCCAGGCGGTTCCTCACCACCACGGCCGCCACGGCGCGGCGCCGGCCCAGGTCCACCGTCCACCACGGTGATGGCTCCCTCTCGGTTTGAGAGCAGGAGCCGTGGCGCCAGTTACCGTCCCGGTTCCCATCCACGGCGTTGATGGCGCTGCCAGCCTGGCCGGCTGTGGAGGACTGTGCCGCTGGGCGCCGCAGGGCCAGGTTTTGGGCTGGGGGACGCCACGGGAGGGTGACGCCAGCTCCAAGTGCTCACCGCCAGCGGTGACCCGCGGCCAGGCACAGAGCCGGTGATGGTTATTGTCCTTCCCCGGTCCCTCCAGGCACCCCAATGCCGCGCCGTGGCACACCGCCATGCGGCCAGCGCAGGGACACGTGTGACATCCCCATCCCCCACGCCCCCCCATTTCCCCCAGCGCTGCAGGGGCTGAATGGGAGCCGCAGGGCTCGGGGAGGCCAGCGCTCGCCCGTGGCCGCCCGGCACGTGCCGGCTCGCTGGCAGGAGGGGTCTTTTGGTCCTTACCACCAGGTGGGGGGAGGCAGCTCTGCGCCGTCACCTCCACTTCACAGAGGACGAGGAAATCCTCCCGGCCGGGGATGATGATGGAGACGTAGCGACCCGGCAGCCCGTTGCAGCAGACGGTGCTGGTAGAGCCGGGACCGGTGTCCAAGATAGCCCCGCAGCTGCCGGGAGGGAACCGTCACAGCGACGGCCGGTGGGAGAGGCCCGTGCCGGGGTGGGGGACCTCGGGGACCCCACTCACGCCGGGTTGCGCTTGCCGCGGTCGGAGAGGGAGTCGCCGACGTGGACCTGGGCGCCAAGGAGGCTCTCCCAGCAGCAGTCGTGGCGGTTGGTGACGGTGACGGCATAGACGGCGTGCCGCCGGCCCAGGTCTACGCGCCACCACGGCTCCAGCTCCTTCTCGGTGTGGGCGCAGGAGCCGCGCTCCCAATCGGTGTCGGTGTTCCCGTCCACGGCGTTGGCGGCCAGGCTGAGGGTGTTCAGCGTCGACGACTGGGTGACGGTGCGACCCAGTGCCACGTTGGGGGCTGGAATTACCAGAGGGAGCGTGGCACAAGGCTGCCGGCTCCGGTTGCCGCCCCACCGGCCCCTCGGCGAGCCCCTCACCTCCGGGCAGGGGGAGGCAGCCCTGCGGCACCACCTCCACCTCGCACAGCACCAGCGCGGCCTCCCGGCCGGGGAGGAGGATGGAGACGTAGCAGCCCCGAAAGTCCGGGCAGGCGAGGGTG